TCATTGTCCATAAAATATAATTAGAAATTAACCCTCGAACGGAACCTTGGGCCACAGGCTAGGCTTTCTCAGGCGAAGTAAGGTGAACTCAAGGAGCTTAGCTTCCACTACTTCCACTTCCACTTCCAGCCACAGATTTACACAACTGGGCCTGAAAAGGAGATAACTCTATGCTTCCAGCTGATCGGCATGAACTTTATTTTCCTGACTGACAAGTAATGACAAGAATAAATGAATGATCTCCCTTGGTGAAAGTAGAAGCCCAAGAGCAGGCTGCTGTTGTCGTAGAAGGGGAAGGCCTGAGTGAACAGGACTTCACTATTCACAAACAGAACAGAGCAGGGAGTGTGGGAGAAGGAGAGAGTGTGTGTTGTTGTCGTAGAGCCGTGTACCGGGGCCTAGTTTGAGGAATTTCTGCAGAGCAATCTCTGAGGATTCGTTTTTGGACGGTGGACTACGATCTCTGTCACAGGTAACTTGTTTGTTGTAGGGCATCCCCCTATATAGCCTAACCCCTCAGATTTTCTTTTACCTCAGGGGCAGCCTGCCCCCTGGAACCCCCCGAGCACGTCTATCTCAAGAACAATCAGATATTTCAAAAACTATTAATTTGCAATGGAAATGATGTTGATATTTGTGTTCAGCGCATCAATATTTAGTAGAAAATGGACAACTGGTAGTAAGTGTGAGACGGGAGAGTGGGTTGGGGCAACTTCGACCGATTTTTGCTATCGGCGAAATATATATAGAATAGAAGTCGACCTCACTCGGCTCCTCTCGGTGCTCAGGAATGCCCGGATTCTCTAGTGGAAATTAAATTATAAAATTGTGTTTCTCGATCTTTTGTAAGGTTCCGTTTTAATGCAGGGGTCTCTCTAGTATTCGATACTTGACCTTTTTTTAAAATTTAAAAATACCTCATTTGGTTCTACTTCGACCGGGGAAGGTTCAAATTCGACTGGCAGTTGGGCCAACTTCGACCACCTTGGTGCAACTTCGACCGAGAGTCCATCTAGGCTAGCCTACACCATTTTGTAGCGTATATGGGTGGTACCCTAGGTGTTTTAGTTGCTGTTTCCCACTCACACGCAAGGACATCACATTGCGTAACATGCAAATGAGCCCAAAGCCAAGCCTAATGTGTGAAACACGCTGGCACCGATACACTCCCAGAAAGACCACACCCATTGACCGTTCACAGGAAAATGCTTAGCCTAGCCTACAGGGAAGCAGCTAAGGCTCAACACACAGATAATATATATATA